TAATGACAGGTTTACTCCTTTCTATCAAATCTGAATGCCTTTTATTTCCTTTTCTCGTATTGTGGCTAGGACCTCTAGTATAATGTTGGATGGACATATTGAAGTGGAAATACTTGCCTTGTTTCCTGTCTTAAGGGGAAAGCACTTAATCTTTCACCATTGTAACTATAGATTTTTCATAGAAGCTCTTTTATTGCTAATTGGTTGAGAGCTTTTATTTTGAATAGACAGTGAATTATGTCAAATGCTTTTTCTGTAACTATTAAGATAATTATGTGGTTTTTCTTTTCCAGTCTATTAATACAGTGAAGCATATTAACTGATTTTCAAATGTTAAGCCAAGTTTGCAATCCCAGCTAAACCACACTTTGTCATAATGTAATATTCTTATATATTGCTGGATTCAATTGGCTAAAATTGTGGGGGGATTTTTGCATCTCTGTTCATGAGGGATATTGGTCTGTAGTTTTCTTTCTTGGTCAGGTTTTGGTATCAGGGTAAAGCTAACCTCATGAAATAAATTAGGAAATGCTCCCCTCCCCTTTTTCCTGCAAGAGTTTGTGAAGAATTGATGCTATTTCTTCCTTAAATGTTTGGTAGATTTTGCCAGGGCCTGGCATTTCTTTGTGAGAAGGATTTTAACTAGTATTTCAGTTTCCATGTCTTTCTTTCAAGAAATTTACAGGCATAAAGTTGTTCATAATATCCTCTTCTTATCCCTTTAATATTTGTAGGATTTGTAGTGGTATCCCTGCTTTCCTTCTTGATTTTGGTAGTTTGTGTTTACTCCTTTTCTTCTGATCAATCTGGCTATAGATTTACCAATCTTCTTTATCTTTTCAAGGAACCAGCTTTTAGTTTCATTGATTTTTCTCTAATGTCTTTCTATTGTATTTCATTAATTTCTGTGCTCATATTTATCATTTCTTTCCTTCTGTTTACTTTTTAAAAATTTACTCCCCTTTCTAGTTTCATAAGGGGGAATCTTAGATTGTTGACTTGATCTTTTCTAATGTAAACATTTGATGCTGAAATTTTCCTTAATTACTGCTTTACTTGTATTTCACAAATTTTGGTAAGTTGTGTTTTCACCTTAGTCCAAAATATTTTCCAGTTTTCTTCATGGGATTTTTTTCTTTTACTTATGGATTATTTAGAAGTGGTATGTTTAATTTTCAAGTATGTTGAGAATTTTCCAGATATCTTTCTGTTATTGATTCCTAATTTAATTCCATTGTTCCTAGAGATTTACTTTGTATGATTTCAATGCTTTTAAATTTTTTGAGCCTTGTTTTATGGTCCAGAATTCACTCTATCTTGGCGAATGTTCCATGTGCTTGAAAGGAATTTATATTCTGTTTTTGGGAGGAACTCTATCAATATCAGTTAGGTCAAATTGGTTGACAGTATTGTTACAATCATGTATATCCTTAGTAATTTTCTGTCCATGTGTTCTATCATTGACTCAGAGAGTAGCGTTAATTTTTATTTATAATTGTGAATTTTTCTAATTCTCGCTTTGGTTTGATTAATATTTTCTAGATGTATTTTGAAGCTTTGTTACTAGGTACATAAATATTTATGATCATTGAATCCCTTTGACAAATTGACCCCTTTATCATTGTGAACTGCTCCTATTTGTCCCTGGTAATATTCCTTGTTCAAAAATATACTTTGTCTTATATTGTGGTAGTCAGAATGGCCCCCCAGAGATATCCAGGCCCTAAACCCTAGAACCTGTGAATATGTTATATTACATGGCAAAGGAGACTTTGCAGATGTATTTAAGGTTACAGTATTAGTTTCTATTGTTACCATGACAAATTACCATAATCTTAATGGCTTAAAACTACTCTTAACTTATTATCTCACAGTTCTTTAGATCAGAAGTCCAGGTACAACATGGCTCAGTTGAGTCTTCTGCTTAGAGTCTCACAAGGTTGAAATCAAAGTGTTAGCAGAACTGTATTCCTTTCTAGAGGCTCTGGGGATTAATATGCTTCCAAGCTGATTTCGGCTATTGTCAAAATTTAATTCCTTGGGGTGGCAGGGCTGAGGTTTCCATTTCCTTGCTGGCTTTCAGCCAGGAGGTATTCTCAGCGTCTAGAGGCTGCCGGCATTTCTTGGCTCATGGTTCCTTACTTCCATCTTCAAAGCCAACAGTGGCAGGCTGAGTCCTTTTCATCTGGAATCTCTCTGACTTCCCCTTCTGCCTCATGTTTCGTCTTCCGTTGCATCTTTCTGACTGACTCATCTACCTTCCTATTCTTCTTTTAAGGGCTCATGTGATTACATTGGACCCACTTGGATAATGCAGTATAATCTCCCTATTGTAAGATTAGCTAATTATTAACCTTAATTCCATCTGCAAAGTCCCTTCACAGTATTTAGATTAATGTTTGATTGAATAACCAGGGTACAGGAATCTTGGAAAATGTCTTTAGAATTCTGCCTACCACAGTTACGGACCTTAAAATAGGGAGATTAGCCTGGCTTTATCCAAGTGGACCCAACCTCATCACACGAACTCTTAAAAGCAGAGAACTTTCTCTGACTGGAAGCAGGAGAAATATGGCAGAAGGAGAAGTCAGAAAAATCCCAAGTATGAGAAGGATTTGATATGCTATTGCTGGCTTTGAAATGTAGGGGCCTATATGCAAGGACCCAAGGGAGGCCTCTAGTATCCAAGGGCGGCTACCAGGTGACAGCCAGCAAAGAAAAAGATACCTCAGTCCTAAACCCACATGAAATGATTCTGCCTACAACCTGAATGAACTTGGAAGCTGATTCTGCCCAGAGTCCACTGATAAGGGCCCCACAATGGACGTCTTGATTTCAGCCTTGTGGGACTCCAAGCAGAGAAACCAACCAAACCCATCTAGCCTTCTGTCATACAGAACTGTGCGATAAATTTGTATTGTTTTAAGCTTCTAAGTTTATGGTAATTTGTTACAGCAGCAATAGAAGACTAAAACAGATATTAATATAGTCACTCCAGCTTTCTTTTGGTTAGTATTGGTTCAATATAACTTTTTCTGTCCTTTTGCTTTTAATCTATCTATGACTTTATAGATAAAGTGAGTGTCTTATGGACAGCATATAGTTGTCTTGCTAATTTATCCAATCTGATACTCTTTGTCTTTATTTTTTTTTATTTCAGCATATTATGGGGGTACAAATGTTTAGGTTACATATATTGCCTTTGCCCCACCCAGGTCTGAGCTTCAAGCATGTCCATCCCCCAGACAGTGCACACTGCACCCACTAGGTATGAATATACCCATCCCCTCCTCCCCCCTTCCACCTGGCCGACACCCAATGAAAGTTACTACTGTAAGTGTACTTAAGTGTTGATCAGTTAACACCAATTTGATGGTGAGTACATGTGGTGCTTGTTTTTTTCATTCTTGTGATACTTCACTTAGTAGAATGGGTTCCAGCTCTATCTAGGATAATACAAGAGGTGCTAGATCACCATTGTTTTTTGTGGCTGAGTAGGACTCCATGGTATACTTATACCACATTTTATTAATCCTCTCACATATTGATGGACACTTAGGTTGTTTCCACATCTTTGCAATTGTGAATTGTGCTGCTATAAACATTCGAGTGCAGATGTCTTTTTTATGGAGTGTCTTTTGTTCCTTTGGGTAAATGCCCGGTAATGGGATTGATGGATCAAATGGTAGTTTTACTTTTATCTCTTTGAGGTATCTCCATATTACTTTCCACAGAGGTTGTACCAGTTTGCAGTCCCACCAGCAGTGTATGAGGGTTCCTATCTCTCTGCCTCCATGCCAACATTTATTATTTTGGGACTTTTTGATAAAAGTCATTCTCTCTGGAGTTAAGTGATATCTCATTGTGGTTTTGATTTGCATTTCCCTGATGATTAGAGACGTTGAGCATTTTTCATATGTTTGTTGGCCATTAGTCTGTCTTCTTGTGAAAAGTTTCTGTTCATGTCCTTTGCCCACTTTTTAATGGGGTTGTTTGATTTTTTCTTGCTTATTTTCCTGAGTTCTCTCTAGATTCTCGTTATCAGCTCTTTATCGGATGTGTAACATGCAAATATTTACTCTTTGTCTTTAAATTGATGTTTAAATGATTTACATTTAATGTAATTATTGACAGGGTTGAGTTTTAATTACCTTCTTGCTGTAGCCTGGAAACTGCCTCCTATGAGTAAACTGGGGCAATATTAGGGTTTATCTCCTTTGTTTCCTCCCTCCTTGTTCTTCACTGCGTGTTGTCAAGGTCTGGAAACTGTTGTCTTGTATGTAATTCTTGTTTAATTTGGAAGGTAAATTCTGTTCCTGTTATTACATCAAGGCTGGAAGTAGAAGTCCTCAACAATGTAATTTCTAATTAATGTTTTAAGGGCATCCTGTGAGAGACAGAGTGTGTGTAATTTATTCAGTCATGGAACGTATAATACGTGCACTAAAATGTTCAGCCATATGAACATGGCAGTTGGCTGTCTTTTTAGAAATAGAATCAAATAATCAATCAGTGACAGAACTTGACCATATTCTGAACATTTCAGCCTTTTTCAGTCTCCATGTCTTGGTATGGCTAGTTTCTTGTGCCTGGAATTCTTCTTCATGTCATTTCCTTTCTTGCCTGGCAGCTTTTCTATGTGTCCCCCGGAACTAGCTCCAGGGTCACCACCTCTCTGCTTCCCAGTACCTCAGACATAATCTGTATTTCCTCTTCCTGGCTTCCATCAAATGCCATACTGTATTATTAATATAATTATATGTTTCTGTGTGGACTGCTTTTTACCAGGAAGTCCTGGGAAGCTGGGGGCTTATTTTAGTCTTCTTTATGTTTCTCTTATTCCCAGTATAGTATGCCTGCTACATAAACCTTTTCAATCAATGATTGTTGAATTAGTGACTCTTTTTAGGTGCTGAAAAATGTTGCTGTTATTACTCCCCATTTGAGTATCACATGTTTGTAAAAGTAAATCCTCTTTAATCATTTTACTTTTCTCCTAGTAAATTCCTCATATATGCCTGTCTGCTACTGTTCTCTGTGCTGCTGGCCCTTCGTTTGGATGGCATCATTCAGTGGAGTTACTGGGCTGTTTTTGCTCCAATATGGCTTTGGAAGTTAATGGTCATTGTCGGAGCCTCAGTTGGAACTGGAGTCTGGGCACGAAATCCTCAGTATCGGTAATACTGCTTTATAAAACCCATTGGTCTCTATCCTGAGGGAGCAATATCTTGGTTTTTCTCACTTTTGATAAAGTTAGGACCGTTTCCTTTTCCACGTATATGGTATTTTCTAAGAACTATAGTAGAGACAAACTGAGATCTCTTCTATGTTTTTGAAAATTAGGTGTTCGATAGGTGTTTTCTTACAAAACCAGTGTTATTTGGGGTGGTTAAGTTCCCAGTCAGCACACAAATGCCTGTATAATCCAAAATGTACCCAAAGTACAAACTGGCATGTCCATACTAGACTAAGAAGCATGAAACCACCCTGCTTTTAGGAGAAGGCATTCAGAGTTTTAGCTTTGGTCATCAGGGATCTATATTTCTGCAGTTCAGTTTTGGAACTGGGGCATCCCTTGGTCCCACCACTATCCTAGGCCCAGGGTTTGAGGTTATTAGCAGTGTAGAGGAGGTAGCTTGGCCAGGAGACCCTCAGTCCTTGAGACCAGGGCTGGGGAATGAGGAAAGTTGAGGGCCAGATTCTGAGAAGGAGAGCAGAGCCTTTGGGTGAAGGGGAGAGGGGTAACCTTTACCTTCTCCAAGTCCCCACTGCTCTTCTTGGATGCCTCAGATGGTCCACATTCCTGGGAGTTGGCTCACTCCAGTGTGCATCCTGGCACTGCTGGGACCTGTGAGAGTCTTTCTCTCTTGCAGAGACTGAAACTACATAAAGCAAAAAGGCAGGACTTTAGAGTAGGAGGCTGTTCTAAACCTTCACCAGGAAGATGGAGAGTTCAGGAATGCCCAGTAGGCAGGTGGGGACGAAAGGGGGTGCTGTTGAGCTCCTCATGTGGGAAAAGTATAGAAGTTTTTAAATTCTTGGTTGTTACCTCTAAAAAATAAAGATTCAGATCTTGTAAATTACATATCACATACGTATCTAAGAACTTTAAAATGGCTACACAAAGAGCCTTGGCAGATGAGGGACGTTCATGTATGGCTATTTTAAAGTTCTTAGATTTTTTTTGAAAGATTCATTACCTGCGTGGCTATACATCTTTTTGTTTTTACGAGATATTTTCAGATATCTAATGCTCCTCAAAGAATGAAAAGGCAAATAACTAAATATTTTAGATTCCATTAATTGATATTTAGAAGGTTTTGAACTTTGTTGGCTTGATTTTAGATTTTTTGAGCAAGGAAGGGAATGGTGGGGGGGTTATACACTGAATGTACAGAGTGTATAGATGTGGTCACTCTAGTGTTAACGGTAACTGATGCAACGCTTTTGCGTCCTGCAGGAATAACCTCTGACCTCATTTTCTCTACGTCCTAAACTCAGGTGTATTTATCACCAACAAGACATATATATCATAAATGTTCATCTGTGTTTTGAAGAACATTGCAAGCCTTTTAAAATGCATTATAAAGCCTTTTTCTGATTAGTGTCCTTACCATTTTTCAATTATTAATCTATTAAGTTCACGCATGATACTTAAACAGCTAATTAAACTGATTTAGTTTAAGAATAGTTTTGACTCTTTTGTTCTTCTGTTTTCCTACAGGTGTTAGTTTATCCTAATGGAATAGAAAGGAAAATAAAAAGACATTTATACTTTTTATTTGCATTTTAAAATAGCACCTAACAATAGTTACTATATCTTATTGGAATATAACCAACACTTATTCATAAAGATAGAGTTATTTTTATAGTATGACATGAAATACAATTTATATGGTTTTTAATTCATTGAGAGATGAGAATCATGAGACTTAAAAGATATTTGTCAGATTTAGCAGTAGAAGTGATCAGCTTGAATAATCTTGGAAGTAACTCTTGTGTTGAATTTAAAGATATGAACAAAAATGTTTATGTACATTGTCTAGGAAGTATAACTGTGGCTATTACTTCTGAGAATATCCTTCTACAGTTAAGGCATTAAAATCTGGTTTGGTTGTAATGTGCATTTCTTGTCATATAGTAGTTCTTTGATGTTTGGAGGATCGCCTATTAAAGAATAAGTTTAAGTTAGCTTTTGACCTGATTTTCCTTTGCTTTTTGTCAAATTTACAAGTAAAATTTGAAGTATCAACGTAAGTTGTTATTGCCCTGAACTGCTTGCTTATAATGGAGATTCTGAACTGAGAGTATTTCTTCTTCTTCTGTCCCTTTTTAGAGCAGAAGGAGAAACATGTGTGGAGTTCAAAGCCATGTTGATTGCAGTGGGCATCCACTTGCTCCTGTTGATGTTTGAAGTTCTGGTCTGTGACAGAATTGAGAGAGGAAGCCATTTCTGGCTTCTGGTCTTCATGCCACTGTTCTTTGTTTCCCCGGTGTCTGTTGCAGCTTGTGTATGGGGCTTTCGACATGACAGGTCACTAGAGGTGAGATTTCATATATTTAAGAATGTAAAGTAAAATCTTTGGTCAGTTATTCAAATATCAATTTCTTGCCCTTTGTTAGGAAGAGATTGATCATTGACCCTAGATCATGGGCCATAAAGCAACAAAAGACAGTGGAAATCATCATTTCTCTTTCTTGACTTAGAACATTGGCTTTTCACCCAGGCCATCAGCCTTCTCCCCAATTCATAGCTTCCCCTGTCCACCTGCATTAGTCAGACTTTTCCAGAGGAACAGAACCCATAGGGTAGATGCAGATATAAAGGGATTTATTTTAAGGAACTGGATCACATGATGGTGGGGCTGGCAAGTCTGAAATCTGTGGGGCAGGTGGGCAGGCTGGAGATCCAGCAGCAATTGACGAAGCAGTACTGAGGCAGAATTCTTCCTATATCGAGGGAGCCTCAGTGTTTGCTCTTAAGGCTTTCAACTGGTTGGGTGAGGCCCACCCACATTATTGAAGGTAATCTCCAAAGTCAATACTTCATGGCAACACCCCGCTTAGTGTTTGATTGAATAACTGGGTATTATAGCCTAGCTGACTTGACCCAAAAAGTGACTGTCTCACCACCTCAGACCCCATGATCTAGCTCCTCACCTGCTCTCTGGTTAGCTTATCCTGATGTGCCAATATATTAATTAATATTTATTCACTCAATAAACATTTATCAAGTATTTACTATATGGCAAGCCCTTTTTGCCTAAGCATAGGGGATACACAGATGAATAAAATACCAGGACTAGTAATACTAATATTAACAATGAAAATAATTGCAGACAGCCTTTATTGAGCATTTACTGTGTGCCAGGCATTGTGTGAGGCACATAACATGCAGGAGTATCTTATTAAATATTCATAAGCCTGTGAAGCAGGTGTGGTAGTTTCCTAGAGAGGGTAATTTGTTCATGGCCACACATTAAGGGGCAGGGTCAGGATTCCATTTCGGTCAGCCTGACTTCCAAAGCCCAGACACTTACTGCACAGAAGCTGAGGGCCCAAACCCTAATGTCCTAATGGGTTGAGGGGAGAGATACAGGCTATAGAAGCCTTGTTTTGAGCCATGTGGATAAAGAGTAGAGAAAGGAGACTGAAGTTGGGTTGGAAGGGAACATAGGAGCCAGGGGGTGGGTTGGGCATGTAAGCCTTGACCCCGCGTGAAGGCTTGAAGGGAAGGCGCCCAGAGAGAGGGACGGTGATGGAGCAAGGCCCTGTAGGACCCAGAGGGAATGGGACCCAGAGCACCAGGAAAGGCTTGGCCTTGAACAGGGGGAGCCGGAAAGGCCACAGCATGGGTGTGGCTGATAGGTAGGGGTGGGCTATGCAGGGAGGATACCTCTGATGGCCACTTTCACCCTCCCTGCAATTCGCATTTTATATTGGGGACCCAAGCACCTGTGGATTTTGGTATCTGGGGAGTCCTGGAGCCAATCCCCCGTGGATACCACGGGACAACTGTACAGTGACTAGGACTGCACTGGACATGAGTTATAGAAAGGTAGTCTTTCATATATTCACATTCTTATCCAGAGAAGAAACAGCGTGCCGGGAGTTGAATTCCCTCTTCTGTGACATAAAAACAAGTGTCTACATTGGCAAGGAGGGGATTGAGAGTAGCCTTGCACAGAGATGGGAAGAAGGAGTTGGAGTCTGCCAGTAAGACCTATGTTGGGAGGAAAGGGATGGCATTTTTCAGGCACACTAAAGCCCAAAGGCAGGAGGAAACCTGTCAGCTGCATGGATTACACAGTTCAGACGTGACTGGAGCGTAAGGTAGAAAGGAGGGAGCTGTGGGAGCTGGGGAGGAAGGAAACCTCTACAGAGGGACCGGGCTGAATATGGCCACACTGTCAGCCCTCAAAGCATGTGCTGAGGTGCCCTGGGCACCCCGGTGAACTCACGGGGTACAAGGGGATAGTGGACATTTTGAAGAAAACAGGGATACCTGACATTTATTGGGACACCGTACAAACTACAAGCTTGAAACAGTTTATGGGCTTATTGTTACATCATACTACATTCCTTTCAATGATGTCATATCTTTAAGAAGCTGGGTTTTCGTCAGTTGCTGCGAAAAATAAAGGCTGGTAGTATGTGAACACCTAGGTGAAGACACCCAACAGGTAGCAAGAGAGGAAGGGCCATTTCTGTATAAGTACCGCGCGCTAACCGATTGCGCCACCAGAGCTCCAGGAAGGGCCATTTCTAATTCCACGGTTTGGGAAATTGTGCACTAGACAGGCATCCACATCCTGTTAGGAATTAGTCGTGGCTATTTAAGGATGAAATTAAAATATTTCTCTTTTAATTTATGTGAATTATTTTTTCAGAGGGCTACTTAGGACAGAAATACTTACTAAGTTCAGACCTAATTACTTAAATCAATGGAACTGTTAGGTATTTCTTTTGGCCAGTGATCTATGGAAGAATTACTGAGTCACTAAATGCCCTGTGAACTGAGAACTTTTGGGGAGCTCTGGGTCAGGTCACAGATCTCCATTCTGGTGAATGAAGAACAGCCTGGAGGGCATTTGGGAGCAGAGGCCCACAAGCCTGGTGTCAGGGAGGCTAATGAGAGGTTGCTGACGGGCTGGGGGTGGTCTGAGTAGGCAGTCATCATCAACATAGCCAGTGGGCAGAGGTTCAAGAGAAGTTTGGGTGGTAGAGTGGACAGGATTTGGTGAGTGATATGAGAGTGTGGGTAAAGAATATAGAGTGCTTCCTGGGTTCCTGGTTTGGGTAATGAGGCTGTTGTGCCTTAATGGGAGGCTATAGAAAAGCTAGGGACAAGGTTCAAGGTGCAGGTGATAAGAACTGAGTTTGGGACTGGCTCCATTTCAGGTGCCTCTAGGAGACCCAAGTGGCACGTGCACAACTAGGTCTGGTGTACAGCAGGAAGACTAGGTTAGAGACAGATTTGAGAACCAGCCACTGGGAGGTAATGCAAGCCAGGGATGTGGCTGAAATTTCTTCTCTCCTAGCCCCTAGGGTGGGGTGAGTGAAAGTGTGTGTGTGTCTGTCTGTATATATCTCTAGTGGGGAGACAAGGCTGAGTTTACAGCTCTGGGGGAGCATCACCATTTGAGGAAGAGGAATGGAGACTGAATGAATGATCAGAGCATTTGGAGGGCACCAAGGCTGCATGGTGGGATCCTGGAAGGTCAGGAGGAATGGAGAGAGGGAAGGAGTAGTCCACGCTATCAGTAGGCTGCTGAGTGAAGTGTTCTGCTGCCTCCTGGTGTTTGGTGACCTTAATGAAAACTGTTTCCTGGAGGTCGTGGAGGTAGAGGCCAGACCACAGTGAGGGAGTTTGGAATGGCAGATGAGACAACGGGGGCAAAGAGAACTGAAGCTAAGAGGGGTCCTGGATCAAGGGAGATGAGGCTTTATTTGGTTTGGGGGTTTTTATTTTTAATGGGAAGGAGTTGACTCGTTTCTGTGCTGCTAGGAAGGATCAATGGAATAGGCAGAGTTAAAGATGGAGTGAAGAATCTGTAACTGATGGCTGGATGTGACAAGATCCTCAAGGAGCCGGAAGGAAATGGGTGAGACGCAGGGGTGAGTCCCAGGTATGGGAAGAAGGAAATACAAGGATGGTTACAAATAGAGGAGATTGTTGTTAGGGGCAGGAAGGAAGCTTGGGGAGTCTACTGCAGATTGCCTCTGTTCCCAGTGAGTCTGAAAACAAGGTCATCACCTGTCGTCACCTGTGCCCAGGCCTCAAGCTACAGAATGGGCAAGACAGCCACTGAGCGGAGAGATGAGGCAGGAGTCCAGGCCACCCGGGCCACGTTTCTTCTAGGCATTGCACTGCTGTGCTCCTCTGGTGCCGAAAATCAGGAGTTTCCTGTGCAACATAATACAAGTTTTACTGCATTATAATTTTCATTGCCTTTTAGTGTGTTAACCAAATAACTACAGTATTGAATGCAACTTCTACTTTGTTTAACTGATTCTTCTCTTCATTTTTAGTTAGAAATCCTGTGTTCTGTCAACATTCTCCAGTTTATATTCATTGCCTTAAGACTGGACAAGATCATCCACTGGCCCTGGCTTGTATGTAACTTTTTAGATCCTTAAATAAACTTTTCTTTTTTATTATAAAAGTAATTGTGCTCATTACAGAAAACTTGGAAAAGACATATGAGCATAAGTAATAGACTAATAAAATCACCCGTAATCCCACCACTGGGTGATAACATGATTAATGTTTTTTTATTTCCTTGCTTTATACAAATAGTTGGGATCATACTGTATGTATACTTTTATATCTGCTTCTTTGTTTTAATATTGTGTTATAAGCATTTTCCCATGTAATAAAATATCTTTATAAACATAACTTTTAAAGTTTAATTGATGCAAAATATTCTTCAAATGCAATAATCAAACCATCCCATGATTTCTAAAATAGAATATTTCAGTTGTAGCCAGTATTTTATTACTTTAAATCATGCTGTACTATATATTTTTATACATAAAAGTCTTTGGCTTATTTTTTATTGTTTTCTTAGGAAATACTACAGAAACAGCATTATTGGGCTAGAGGGTAGGAACTTTTTGAGGTTCTTAAGTACATATACTGCACTACCAACTTGTTTTTCAAAATGGTGTGCCAATTTACATGCTGGCCATGAGTGGAGCCCTAACTCATGCTTCTAAACTGTGACTTCAGTTAATGGTTGTTTGGTTAAAATTAACTGTGGATAGATGGATGGAGAGATGGATGGAAGGAAGGATAGGTAGATAGATAAGTGGTTAGCTATAAACCAGAGAATACAGTATGGTTTCAACTTTTATATGCATAGAAAGAAGATTGAAGACAAAGGCAGAAGAGTTCCATTGCCTCTGGGAGTTGAGTGAGGTCAAGCTAGTATTTTTGTTTTTATCTTATCTGCTGCTTGATGTATATTTTTGCATACAAGACAATCTCTGCATTAAACATAGTTTACCTTTTTCTAAAAAAGAGTTGAAAACTATAGTACAAAAAGAAAATATTCATTTGGAGGCAGGGAAGAAAATAAGAGAACATAAATAGACGCCAAAATTAAAGTAAAGATGGGATTTATCACTTCTGCCCAAGTCTTTAATGAAATAGTCATAATCAAAAATATTGTTCAGGCACCCATCCTACATCTTTAGGGTGCTATATGTGCAGAATGGTAATTGGTTTCAAAACTGTCTCTATTGTGGCATGGAGGAAACAAGTCTAGACAAGACCACATTTTTAATATAAGGTAAAAAAAAAAAAAACAAGATTAGGAATTTTGAATGCTTTCTTCAAGTGAGCAGAGGGATGTTTCCACCCTCATCCCTGTGCAGATCCCAGCGGATGAAGAACTCTTATTGCACATTTACCACAGTGAGCAAGAGACAGCAAGTGAGGCTGTTGAGATCACTCACACTCCACCCATGAAGGGAGTTCCAATAAAGGAGAGGCCTGTCACAGATGTGCTATAGAAGGAAGAAGACAGGCTGTGTGCGGGGGCTTTCAGCAAAACCTACAGTCAAGCTAGTCAGAAGGATTAAAACTCATGTACCGACTCAAATCATAAATAGATAAGTAAAATGTAGAACTATAGAACTGTTAGAAGAAACCATAGGACACAATCTTTGGGGCCTGTAGTTAGGCAAAAAGTACTTATAAATGGCAGCACGAATATAGTCCATAAAAGAACAAATCATAAATTTGAACTTCCTCAAAATTGAAATGAATGAGAAGACAGGCCACAGATTGGGACAAAGTATATGCAAAGCACATATCAAAACATTGACGAGTACCTAAAACATACAAAGAACTCTAAAAACTCAAAAATAAGAAAACAAACACCTAGTATAAAAATTGGCAAAAGCCTCAACAGATAATTCACAAAGAGGATATACACAAGGGGAATAAGCACAGGAAAAGATGCTCAACGTCATTACCCATCAGGAACAGGCAGGATGGGGTCCCCCCGCACATTTATCAGAATGGTGAAACTCAGAGACACTGACACGGCCAGGTAAGGGGAGGTGGGGCAATGATGCAGAGGAACGCGCACGCACCCCCAACACCAACACAAAAGCACAAAGGCACACCCAAAAACGAAAACGCAGTGGCAGATACAAATAAAAGGAAACGTACAATGGCAACCAGAACCAACACTCCCGCGCCTGGACCCTAAACAAAGAAAAACAAAAACACACAGAGAAACACAAACCCAAACCCCAGTAGCAGCAGCAGCCGCGTTAGCCAAAACCAAAAAACCAAAACCAACGGACAGGGACGGAAGCAAAAGCAAACCGTACACGCCCAGGAAGACCAATAACAAACAGAAAGGAAAAACAACAACACGCAGACAAAGACAACGACGAAGATCAAACACAGAAACATCATCCCCAGAACCAAAACGCAAAAGCAAAACAGGCGCAGGCAGTCCAACTACATAAAGGTAAACCACAACCAAAAGCAAAAGGACAGAAAAAAAAAAGAGCAGCCAGGGCCAAGGGTGAAGGGAGAGTGAGACAGCGAAAGGAGAACAACAACAGCAAGAAGGACAGGGACAGAGAGCGACACCGCCCCGCCCCCGCCCGCGACCATCAACACCTACACGAGAACTAAAACAAATGGAACACAAAGCAAAACAAACACAGTCACTGTGACAGAACCAAAAAAAAAAAAACAAAAAAAGAAAACGCAGAGCAAGAGCAAGAAGAAAAAAAAAAAACAAAACAGACCAAGGCAAACCCACACCCCCAAGCCTCAGCCCCCGCACGCGCACGAGACAAAGACAAGCTCGTACGACAAGAACAGAAACAGAACCAAAACGCGCATGGGCACAGGGACAGGGAAGCAGTACCAGCCCAGCACCAACATCACAAGGCCAAGAACACAAACACAGCCCCGGGAACCCCAAGCACAGGAACCTGAACGGGACCCGGACCCAAGCCCAACCCCAAACCAAAACCACCAACAGCAAGAAACGGAAACGGAGAAGCAGAAACGGGGAGGGGGGAGGCCAATGACAGGGACAGAGCCAGAGCCAGAGTAAGAAGAAGAAAGAGAGAGACAGCAACAACAGCAGAGGCTGGGGGCCAGATGCAGGGCTGTCGCGCAAGGAGGAGGGACTGACTGACTGACTGATGACAGAACGTGTGTTTCCCCAGCATCAGGCCCCGTAGCCAGCAGACTGTACCTTCTCTTTCCCGCGCTGTCCCCACAGCAGTCCTGGGAGGAGGGACCGTCCTTATTCAGGCTGGCGCTGTCTTAACTGGAGAGACCCAGCAAGGTGTGGACAATGCCTTCCACCGGAAGCTGGGGTGGAATCTCTAAAGAGACTTCTTCTCCCCTCCTTGCCTCAGGTTGTGTGTGTTCCTCTGTGGATTCTCATGTCCTTCCTGTGCCTGGTGGTCCTCTATTACATCGTGTGGTCCGTCCTGTTCTTGCGCTCCATGGACGTGATTGCAGAGCAGCGCAGGACTCACATAACAATGGCCCTGAGCTGGATGACCATCGTCGTGCCTCTTCTCACTTTTGAGGTGAGCTTTCTAACTATGGGAAGCCTCTGCAGCCCCTAAGGTCCACCCTTCCCTCCCACGGCCTCCTGGCTACCTGGAAAGGCAGCCTGCTATCCCTCGAAATTGCAGCAAGAGCACGCCTCCAGGATAGGATGTCTGTCCAAGGAGAATGTCCTTTCCTTCTCTTGGGGGGCGGGCAGGGGCTGGCAGTGAGAGTGCAGCTTTCCAGTCCTGATGCGCCCGTATGTCTTGAGGTCCTACGTTTTGAAAGGGCGAGTTGGATATTGGATTTTCGTATTTGAGTTCTGTGGAGAATTCTAGAATGGCCACCATTGATCCTTCAAACAAACACCTGGAGGAATTTCCCATAAAAGTCCTGGGGCTGGAAACTTTTCATGTGGAGGGACTTTTGCTTAACCCTAGAGAGCGATGTGAAAGCTCATCTCATGGAAGTCCCTGAGGATGGGTGGTCTTTGGCCGAGACCAGAAGTGCTGACTTTCCCGCTTCTGGGAGCTCACTGGGCAGGGGCCATCTGATGAGGTGCAGCTTCCAAAGTTGTCCACTTTCCGTTGTTGTGTCAAAAGGACCTTGTCTGTGTCTCTCTCTTTAGATTCTGCTGGTTCACAAACTAGACGGCCACAACGCGTTCTCCTGTATACCCATCTTTGTGCCCCTGTGGCTCTCCTTGATCACGCTGATGGCAACCACGTTCGGACAGAAGGGAGGAAACCATTGTACGTACTCGGCATGTCAGAAGTCCTTCACATGTGTGTCCGTGGGGGTGCAGGGGTCCCTGAACTATGAAAGCATGAGTCTGAGGACCCTGAGTTAGAGGTTTATGGGGGAAAGCAAGGGCCGAGGAAGTTCTAGGACCTTCCAAGAGGAGGGCGCGCTGTCCCCTGGCCTACATCACGGCTTTCCTCCAAGCGCTCCCTGCGATTTGAGGGAGGAACAAACAAGGCAAGCAGCCTCTCACAGCTCCCCTTTCTTCCTCTGCAAAATTGGGATCAAGATACGTCCTTGCAGGGCTTGTGAGGAGTAGATGAAAAGTCCACATCTCCCACCTGAACCCCAAGATCATCCTAGGTCCCTTTTTCCCCTCCCCTTCCCCAGTGTCCTTGCTGACATCAGTGAGTGTGGCCAGGTGCACTTTGCATGCCCTCTCTTCCTCTCCTCCTGCACGCAGTGCCACACAGCTTTGAAACGATCTGTAAGGAGGGTCCCTTCCTCACGGGGCTGTGAGCTCCATCGCATGGAACCCCCGAGCACTGCCCTTCTGGAAGCCAGTGGGGTGAGAGCAGTGCCTAGACTGCAGCCAAGGCCATGCTTGCGGCTTGTGCCCTGGGAGAGCCAGCACGGAGCCGGCGGTTGGGTGGTGCACAGAGAGGAGGGGCGGGCCTTGCGGAAGTAGCTTTAGGGTGGCCCCTGGCCTGGACCAACACCTGCCTGCCCCCTTCCCAGATTCCACAGGGTGACAGAAATCCTCTTCTTGGATGACGCTCTTTGTCATTCAAGAGCTTATCCTGGGCATGGAAGATTAGAGGAAGAGAGCGAGCATGGTCTAGGTATTTGAGACTCACTAGGGCAGTGGTTTTCGAACTTTAGCACCCACCAGGATCCCTAAAGGCCAGGAAAAGTGGGCAGCCTCAGCCCACGCCAGCCCAACCCACAGTTTCAGATTCAGGAGGTCAGGGCTGGGGCCTGAGAATCGTATCCTGAACAAGGCCCTGGGGATGGTACCGCTGCCGTTCTGGGAACCCCACTTTGAGGACCCCAGAGCTAGAGGTCGTACTTTGGCCCCTTATTGGGTTGAGGCCCTGTCGAGTCTTCTGAGTGAGCTCTCTGGAGAAAATGGACTTCTTGTTCAGGAAAGAAAGGTAACGTGAAAGTCACTTGGGCCTAGCGTTTGAAAAAGAAAATTCTTATTTTTCAGGGTGGTTTGGTATTCGCAAAGATTTCTGTCAGTTTCTGCTTGAAATCTTCCCATTTTTGCGAGAATACGGAAACATTTCCTACGATCTCCATCACGAAGATAATGAAGAAACTGAAGAAACCCCAGTTCCGGAACCTCCTAAAATCGCTCCTATGTTTCGAAAGAAGACCAGGGTGGTCATCACGCAGAGCCCTGGAAAGTATGTGCTGCCCCCTCCCAAATTAAACATCGAAATGCCCGATTAAACGCCACCTCGGGGGACAGCACGTATGTGAACGGGGACGCACGCTCTCTCCACCTCCCTCTGCCGCCTCTTCACCCACGGCCCAGCCCCGGAACTGGAGCTGGGTCTCCAGGTACGTCCATCTCATGCCTTGTTTGCATCCAACGCCTATCAGCCACTCAGCACGAAGGGACGCAGAGCTGACAGGTGACCGGCCAGGGTGTGTGTCAGCGGACCTGGCTGCCAGGGAGAGTGGGAGACGGAGCACCGATTTACATCCGTCTGGGTGGGAGCCTTAGGCGTTTGGTCATCCCCGTCGGACCCAGGGGGGTGGCTGGCTGATGAGCCCCGCAGAAGGGACATCTCTCTGCACGGCTGGTTTTCAGAGTGCTGAAAGTTCTGATCCAAAGTGTTGTTCCAAAATGTATTTTCCCACAGGGCCAGCCCCCACGTGCAGCTACCAGTTGTCCCGGTCTTGGCGTAGTCAGTAGGAACTATAAGGATGTCTCTAATGCACCACGTGTTTAGACACAGCACAGTCCTCCTTTTTCCTGTTCCTACTGTGGAAGTAGTTTCTCTCTGGGCATGCTGACAGCAGTTTTTAAGAGCCTCATGGGTGAGCCCTTTCTAATGGAGTCACTCCATGCCTGTATAGTATTTATACAAATATTTTAGCATCGTCATATACGGTGTTAATGCCTAGTTCTGTACAGTATACTCTGTTAAAGTATTTTTTTACAAGCTTCTGCTGGATACCAGGTGTTCCGCTACAGAAGTAGAAGCCGGGGGCATGCCTGCCCCACCCCAGCGGGGTGCCACGCCTTCACGGGACATTGCCCTTTCCGCCCTGGAATTCCTCCAGGTACTCCGGTAGCCCCTACTGCCAGAACAGCCACAGCAAGCAAGAAGTGGTTTGCGCTTTTCTGACGTTCTGGGAATATTGGTTAGCTGAAAAACCTGTAAGGCGCTACTGGACGCCAGGACACTGGAGGATGTTGCCCAGAGCAGAAATGGCGTCCGTGTTGAGACTCAAGCTTTCTGTCTGCCAGCAACAGGGAGGCTTTACATAAGGCGCGATGCTTTCACAGGTTGAGTGCGGATTCTCCAGGCACCGCGGGTACAGCCGTGAGTCACATGCTACAAATGAGATATCCTCCTGCCCGAAATCAAATTGGTCATTCATTTAAAAGAGGGTAAAAGCGGGCGTCGATATACTCAGCCGGGAGAGAGGTGTGCAGTGTTAACGCGGCAGCTGCTCACCGGCCTAAGTCGCTTTAATTCCAGTCCAGCACATACAGGCCTCCTCCCTGCAATGCTCCTCCAAGGAGCTTGTTCTGTTTAGGGTAAGGGGGAATGGAAAGGTGTAGCCTTACCTGCTCAGTGTGTAAAAAGTGTAACTAAATCCACTATTTTTACTCTCTTAAGCTGTTCAATAAACTGGCTCTTCATTTCACACGGGCACTGTGTGCATGTCCTTTTGTTGGTGGTCCGGCAAACCGGAATTGTTCTCAGCCAGAGCAAAGGGAATCCCTAGCTGCCACAGGCAGCCGAGGCTGGCCGGGGTGGGCGAACATCAACATCATTAAGCTCGGTGCTCAGAATCAAGTGGGGGAGTTTGTGGACAGGTGGCCCCGTATGTGGGGACACTGTGTGACACAGAGGCTGCTTTGGATGGAGGCCTCTCCCTTGACCTGCCAGCACCACACCCGGGAGGAAGGATGGCAGAGATGGAACGCGGGGCATAAACCTGCACGCACCTCTCTGGAGATGTCGGCTAAAGAAAATAAAATGTGCGTGAAGGCCGGTGGCCAGATGCCTTGTCACACTGTGACCACGAAGGCCCAGGGTGTAGAGGAGTGTCTCCGCTTGGCGGGTCAGGGGGCAGGGCCCGTATGAGTGCAGGCTGAGGGAAGGTGGGAAGAAGGCCACCATCTGCCATTGGCTGTCTCCTGCCCAGCAGTATGGGTGTGTTAGGAACATCTCTGTGGAGAACATGCCAGGGTGGTGACAGTGTTAAAAGCATGGTGTGGCTGCAGCCGGAACCACGGGGACCATGCTAGACTTGGATCCGTGCTTAAAAGCATCAATCCTATGCTGTGGGGTGTGGGCCAGGGTCCCCATCAGCGAGCCCTGACTTCTTTAGTCAGTGCTGCACTGTGGTCCTGCCTGGCCCCAAGACCTCTAGGACAAGTAGACAAGGGGACAGTCCATGATCTGCACCTACAGTATAGCAGGTCACCGGAGACACTAGTGTGTACCAACATCATCTTTCCCATCGAAATGACTCTGTGTGGACCAGAAAGTTGACATACTGACAGGTCACTCGTCTGGCCTGGCCTGGCCTGGCCCTTTATTCAATCATGCGCTGGGTGTATTGTGATGTCACCCCAAGCAGCCTGAGCTCCTTTGTGATGCCCGCAGCTGCGTTATTACCAGGGGTGCTGCTGGCTGTGCCACACTCCCGGGCTTACATGACCGAAGGACGAGCATCACTTCTTATTGCGAGATGTGAGGAAAGCGCTGGGGGCTGGGGGCACAGCTCGCAACGGTGCCTTTTCCTCCAGAAGCAAGGGCTCCCCCAAGGAATGCAGAGAAGGACCGCCATCCAGCAGAGCCGTCCCGTGCCTGGGACGACCCGACGGCCACTGGGTGCCCTGACATCAGGCCACTGCTTGAAGAAATTTCTTTCTGAGCTGTGGCCGAAGAGCCTTTGTTGAGACGGCCGTGCCCTATCTATGACATCCCATGCGTGGGAGACGGAATCTCCTCTCCCTCCCCTTCCAACAAAAGCTGTGGAGGATCGTCCACAGCAGTCAGTTTGCATCCCTTGGGTGGGATGACGGCGGCACTTGAGTAGGGATCAGTGAAAAGCTGTTTCAAAAGGAGACGCTGGAAAGGTATGGCCCCAACAAAGGGTTTGAAACACATGGTATGGAGAGCTGCTCCGCCAGCTAAACCTCTACAGCGTCAGCAAAAGGGGTCAGGACATTCACACTTCCCTCTGCCTTGCCAACTTTTTCACTGAAGAAAGACCAAGTCTGTATCATGAGCAAGGAAGCAGACAAGAAACCTCGTGAAGGCCTGCGGCAGTGGGCTCTGAGGTCAGGTGGGGTGACAGTCCCAGGACCACATCATGAAAATTGGGTGGCCTGGGTGGGGTACGGAGCCACTCCTGTGCCTGCTTCCCCCTCTGGGTGGTGGTGACATTAACTGAGTAAGAATTCACTGGGGGAAAGGGCTGAGAACGGTGCCAGCCCATGTCTAGTGCATAAAAGATCAGGGCTGTTAAGTCATTCGATCTGCATGTCCTCCTCCTCCGGAGAAAAAGAATGTCACCTGGCAGTTGATGGGTCCCTATGACTCCATAGTGCTTTAATGCATAACAGAGGTAGGTGTGGGCATCTGTTCCTGTTAAAATATCAGCGTCCCCATGACCGGCATCTGGATAAGAGCTAAACTGAGAGCATTTAAGGGAGCCTGCCGAAGGTGGCATAGACATGCCTGCTTGCCTTGGTCCTTGGGCCCGGAGGATGGAAGAGCCAGTGCCCTGGTCTCCCAGCCAGGGGTGAATTCTGTTCCTAGCTGACACGCCCAGAATCTTCTTCACTCCCAGGCTGAAACTTCAAAGTCCCTTTCCCTTGGCCGTGTACACTTCCTAATTTGACATTTTTAGGCATTTTCTAAGGCTGAAACGCTCGTCATAAGTTGATGCATCTTCAAGATGTAAAATGGGTCCACAGCTTCTTTTTGGGACTTAACCTTGTGTCCCAGGGCCACTAGAGTTCTACTGCACTGGGGCCTAGGTCATGGGTAGTTGCAGTTAACTTGTCACATGGAGTTTCCTATTCTTTTGGAACTTTGAACCGCAGTTACAGTGCTATTGCAATGTCTACCTCGTGAGAGACTCCCTGACCTCGCTAGGAGATGAAGAGAAGCGTGGGCATTACATCTGCATTAAGGCAGAGGGAGAGCAAGCCAGAAGCCGCGCAATACCCTCTGGCACCCCCAGCCACAGAGCACCTAGAAGATCGAACATCTCTGAATGAGGACAGCCAGGAGATACCAAAGAACCAAGACCCTGACGGTCCCACCAGGCAAATCAGGAGCGAGTCTGCTCTGTGGGCAACTCCCTTGAGGAATGACGACCTCCAGTAGCCCAGAGGGCTGAAGAGCAGCCAGAGGGCGTCTAGGTGCATGTCTCCACGGTGGCAGATGTCACTGTGCCTGAAGAGGTCCTCTTTGTCTGTTTTGCCCTACCTTCCACCCGGATGAACCCTTACAGGCCGTGCCTCCCAGATCGTCCACGTGCACTCCACACAGCTCCCGTTGTCTGGATGCCTGTGCCCGTTGTGGCTGCTGGGCCTGCTGCCTCCATCGCCATGTTCCCTCATCCCCGACTTTGTTCCACTGCTGTCCCAACTGCTGCTGTGTCTCAGAGTACGTGCCAGCTGCCGAAGGGCCCCAGGTGTACCCAGACTATGCCGACCTCCACAGATACACGAAGGCAAGCACTGGGTGGGAACATGTGCTGGTCAACGAAACCTATCAGAAAATGAGGAGTTCTTTGTCTGCACAAAGTGGTCTCGGTCTCTGCCAGTTTTCTTTCTTTGCAGTCAGGTACCCCCCTCACATGTCTTTTGCTTTTGTGATAAAGACTTCAGTGTAACAGCCCTCCCGGGCCTAATGCAGGTACCTAGTAGATACTCAAGCAGGGTCTGGGTTTTATTAAGCACCTCAGACATTCTGCCTCCACTCATTAAAAATTATCTTGAAATGATCGGCAAGTACAAAGACTGAGCATTGGTGTCTGAGTGCTCACAGTGACCCCGTGTTCCTGGCTATCCAGACAAAATTCTCTGTCATAGTGGTGCCTTCATATAGCAGGATCTTCACCTTACATACAGATGAGATCAAGTCTCACTTGCAGATGGCCTAAAATTGCCCTAATGGTTAGATACAGAGGTGAGAGACACTGCCAACGAGTCCTGTGGTTTTGGGGTTTTCTCTCTACAGGGTGCTAGATGGTGTCTGGGTTACAGGATTTATGTTGGACTTTTATGCCACGTTCTAGGTCTGGTGACTTTTTCTTTCTTCTTTCCTTCATCCCCTCCACTCCTCTTTTCCTTGATTTTTTGGTTTTCTTGGAGCCCAACATTTATAGGATGTCATGTTTCCACTTAGGAAGCAACTTTGTCTGGTCGCTTGGGGCATCTAACTTAGAACACATGGCGTCGTCAGTGAGCCTCTATAAAGTGTGGTTTGTCTCAATGATCACAGCACATAAACTTTCAAGTTCTGTCTGTAGAAATAATTGGGTATAGAGACTCACAGAGCTCCGAAATCAGGTCTTGGAGAGAGCCCGGACACCGATGCACCAGAACCCAGTGGTATCCCTCGCCTTTATTTCTACTTTGACAGCAGGTAGAGAGTCCTGGGAGAAGCAGGGAGAGTCGATGAGAGAATGAAAACATGTACATGGATTAATCCAGAGCCCAGAGATGGTCTGCAGGTGGATCCCCCTGTCTCGGCCTGCCCAGTTATAAACTGGTGCTCATTAACTAATGGGTGCCAGTCACCTTTCGGAGATTCATCATTTGTGAGCTCCTTAACTTTCAAGAAGTACAATTTCTTATCTCTTTCTTGGACTTACATATGCCTACTGATCTTGAATCATGCAGAGATCCTGCTGCTTACAAACATTTTCCCTAAAAATGTACACCCCTGTGGTCCTTGCTTACGTGTAAATCTATATAGAAAGATGCACATTTGCCAAATGTGATCGTGAGTTATTTTCTTTTCAAAAAAAGTTAGCGATATTTTTGGTTGTCATGACTGGGCTGTCGCTCCTGGTTTCTAATAGGTAGAAAGGAGCCAGGGATGCTGCCAAGCAGCCTACGATGCCC